CCCTATTCTAATTATTAAGGCCTCTACATCGGGGTTAAGAGGGTCTAGGGTTTAGGCAGGGAGTTACTTAGGGTTTGGGGTTTAGAGTTAAGAGGGTCCGGGGTTCAGCCAGGGGTTTAGGGTTTCTCGTGTTCCCAAGTTCTCAGTTGCAGAGTACGTAGGAAACTTTTACCTCTTTGGGGTACGGTAACCCCGAATAGTCCCGAAGGTTGACCTTTCTATTTAGTGCCCCTGTAATACTCGACAAGTAAGTACTCCGTACGGGCTCTATAAGTATGAGGGCTTGCAAGGGCTCAATATTATATTAATATGTGTGCAGGTGTTTTTTTTACTTTGGCGGTGTAGGAGCTCGCAACAAAAGTCCTATTCCAGACGCACAGCTTTCCCCGAGGGGCGTTGTATCTGAGGCATGCCTTTTCGGACAGCCCAAAACCCTCGAAACCCTAAACTCCCCAAACCTTTAAACCCTCCCCTGGCTTTAAACCCCCAGCTCCAGAGCCGCTAAACTCTCCCCTAAACCCTACCTTAACCCTGAATAACCTACCCTTTTTAGGGCTCCCTATTCTGATTTCCTTATACAAGTCCTCAAGAAGGGTAGGTTCTTCAGGGTTAAGGTAAACCCTAAGCCCCTAAGAATGATACTTTGGGAATCTGAGGTTAGCAGGGCTTCGGGTTCTTTTGGGACCCGGAGGCTCCAGGTGCCCCTTTTTAAAGGAGCGTGCCTTATAGGGTTTAGGGTTTAGGGTTCAGGGTTTAGGGTTTAGGGAAATCACCTGGGTTCCTTTAGATAGACGGTTTCATTAAGCTTCCGGGCTCGGGGTCTTGCGATTTTCTGGCTTCTGCTAGGTGCAGCTGCGGTTTCTTATTCTTTTCCCTTATCCTAGAGTCCTAAACCCCCCCCAAAGTAGGTAAAATAATGGCACAATACCCATAAAAGGGCTATTATTCTACATACTTTGGGGGTCCAGGTAGTTTAAGCTGTATCTGTTTGGACAGACTTGTAGTCCAATAGGCTTAGGAAGAAGAATCCCTTCATCAATCGCTTTTCGAGACGTCGCAGGCAGAATATCAAGGTGTGCAAATGCGAGTACCTCTGTAAGTTAGACTCATTGATCGTCCCGAAGACGATAATGTCGCTGTCGAACATTATGTGGGCCCAATGTCCCATGTTTTTTTCAGTACCTTCCTCTCCACACGTCAGGGTCCAAATCTCCAAATCATGCACGAGCATACGATCATGCTGTTAGTCCAAATGCACAGCATTGAAGACGCATGCTGAATTCCGGTACGACCCTTGCATGTGTCTGTTTTTCGCTCGCCTTAAATTATCAAAAATGTATTTTTTCGTAGGGTCTCATTGCAAACCCTAATATAGATCCTTACAAAGACCCTACACGAAAGTAGGTCTTGCGTCAACGGACCCCAAGCGAGTAGGCCGCGGATCATGTGTCGGAACACTACACCGGGGTCCACAATGCAGCGTCAGCAAATGGAGCCTTCCGGCCCAAGACTCTCACTTTAGCCCCAGAAAGCACATAGTCAGGAGCCCGACTTTTGTAAGTTTGTCGGCTTTACAGGCATATAAGACACTATCCAAGACACACCCAAAGGATTCAAGTGCCCACACGGTACATACTCGGGCCATACAGTTAAGCCCCGCACCTTGAGCTGTACACCGTATACCATAGGGTGTACAGCTTAGGGTGTGGGTTTAATTGTCTGGCCCCATACTCTGTGAGCAAAAGACACCCCCGCGATGATCCTAAATCTTCGCAAAGGACGGAGAAAACACTTCCTGTGATGGAAGAGGCTCATCCTGTTTTAGGGTTGCTTCAAGGGTTTAGGATCTCTTTGCGGGTTCCTTTAAAGGGCCTGCGTCCTTTAAGAAGAGGTTTGCTTGCTTGTTGTGTACAATTAGGTGTAGGCGCTTCATAACTGAACAGCCGGGCCCGAGAGACTCAAAACGATCATGGCATTATGCACCATCTATGCTCAGCACAACATTCAGTCAAGGAGCCTAAACATGAGTGAAGGCTCCACGCACAAACTCCTTACTCCTGAGAAGAAAATCATATCCCCTGAAGCCGAAGCCTACCCCGAGCCTTAAGATTTAGACCCGAAAAACCAAAAGCCCCTAAACGTTCAAATAGTTCTAATTCTATCAAATAGCTACTTACTGGGTGCAGGACGTCTTCTTGGCGGGAAGTGTTCAGGAGCAGTAATAGTGCAGCCATGCTAATAAGCATTGCTACCTCTTTGTAGTAACACTACTATGCTTCCTAGTATCTGTAGCGGTTTAGGGTTCAGGATTTAGGGTATGCTGGCTCGTTTTTTGCGGCAAGGTTTTGAAAGGCGCGTAGGATTTCTCAAGCATGTGGGTTTTGGCCTTTTACATTTTTTTCGGGTTTAGGGTTAGGCTTGACTATAGGGTTTAAGATTTCAGAGCTTAGGCTATCAGGCTTAGGGGTTATAGGGTTCAGGACATTCTCTGACTCTTGCAGCAGCATTCAAGAGCCCCAAGACTCTTGCTCCTCAAGACCGACTATAACGGTCCAAACAGTTGAAGCATAGTATACTAAGTCCCCCAAGCCCTTCCAGGCCTCTAGAAAGCACTGTGTTCCCCCAGGATTAGAAGTACCTACACGGTAGAGAGTAAGCTTGTTATAGTAGGAGGTACTATTTTGGTTGTTTTGGGGTAAGTATCCCCATATGGGAGTTTCCGAAAATTAGGGGTACTGTATTTTAGGGTCCTTATAATAAGGATCCTTCTATTCAGGGTACTTTATCAGGGTCCCCTATTTTCGGAAACTCCCATAGACCCTAAAACACTAAACCCAGAGATCCCCTTTAAGGAACCCTATAGATACCTTTAAGGAGCCCTTTAAGAGCCCTTACTAAGTCCCCCTGGTAGGTACCTTTCATCCTTGGGTTTCTTTTCCTAAGCACAAGCGCACAAGCTACCTGCCATGCGCCTTCCTTCGCTAGGTGGAGCAGCACCACAGGCTCTTCTGCAGTGCTGGGATTCAGGATCTGGGTCTCTATTCTCATATATCTACATATATATATATATATATATGCGAAAGCTTTTGTGGTTTCGAATTCAGGCTTCGGGTTCAGACTTCAGGCCTCAAACCGTGCAGAAAAGGTTTTTGCATCGTGTTGCATTTGGGAAGAAGGCATTAATCCTAGTTTTCCAAAGCGTGAACTATGAACCCTGAGGCTAGTCCTCCTCTACAGGCGAAAACAGTAAGGTGAAAGAATGCCTTGTCCTTGTGTCCATTCCGTTCCTGAGTTCAATACGACATGTCAGCATTGACATTCCATCAGAGCAACACTTTACCAAGCTCCGTGGCATTTGTCTCTACCTAGTGGTAGATTAGGTAACCTTGACATTTTTTGGGTAGTATAGTCCCTGTATAATCCCTATATCACCAAAAAGCTTAACCTTTAGTTCATGGAGGTGTTCGCAGCAGAAGATCGCAACGGTCCATTGTCCAGAAACCCCAAGGGTGATGCCAATGCTCGTGCAAGGAGGACCATACGGGCTTTCGGACCATTGGTGGAGAAACGCGATTGCGTCCCAGGAACTTTCTTCCAGCGACTGCATAGCATCGAGTCGAAGCTGGACGCCGACCGGAGGACTGTGGCTACTTTGTACAGGAAGATAAATGAGGCAGCCGCGGACAGCAATGGGATATCCGTGATCTGAGTTGCGCGGGGTCACTGGCCTTAACCCCTAAATCCCTACACCATCAAACCGTCCCTCCCCACATCAACCTGCGTAGCTCTGCCAAAGTTCCAGATCTTGCCGCGACCCGACCCTGGCCATGACACCAGATAACTAGGATGTCCAGTAGTACCCTTATTCCCTTTTTGTAGTCCTAGGTTCCTGGTTCCTTATAAAGTTACGCGCAGGAGTAGAGGTTTGCCCACGGCATTTGGGCACTTACGCATCAGCATTCAGGATTCAGGGTTTCGGCTGCGCTTGAGTCTTTGGATTCCAGGACTATTGTCTTATGTCTTCTTCTTTCGGTGCGTTTGTGTCTTTGGATGCAGATTTTCTGCCTTATGTTTTCTTATTTGTATGGTGCATCAACACTGTCTGCTCCACCATCTCGCCCGCGTGATTACGAACATCTTCAGCAACATCGTCCTCCAAGTCAACACCAAGTGCATGTGAGGTCAAAGCAGTAGCAACATGTCTTCCGCTCATGATGATGTCTGATGATGCTGATAGGCTCTTCTGTCGTCCTGGTGGTGTTGACGATTAAGATGGTGAGAATGAATAAAACTCCCAAGAACTTAACAACCCTCCAAGTCTCTTCGGTGTGCGAGCTCTTGCTTCTGCCTCGACTTCTGGTCTCTGGGCAGAGGGAGCAAGTGCTGCAGTGACGCACCAGAATATGGCAAGCTTGGCTCAATGATTCTGTGCCCGCAAGTTCCCTCTGACTTTCGCACGTGGCCGTTGGCGGTGCAGGTGAACGTGCTGTCCTGTCTTTCGGTTGCGGACCGCACACGTCTGCAGTGGTGTAGCCTTGTGCAGCACGAACCAACACTCACGAGGCCATGGCAGCGCATAGTATGCTTATGCCAGCTTTCCGCGGTAAGCTGACTACGACCCCAGTCTTTGGAGTAGTGGCTTTAGAGCTTTCAAAAGGGCCATAACGAAGTCATGAAGATTTTCATGTAGGAAGATGCGATGCTATAATGGTATAGGATTTAGGGTCTACTTGGAGGTTCATGGGTAGTTATAACAGTGGGGATATAAGTCCCTAATATGATTCGTAACTACAGGTAATTAACCTGCTTATAACCTGGCTTATAACTACCCATGAACCTCGAAGTAGGAATCCGAGGAACAGTTGCAACATGGCAGAGCTGGAGCCCAAAACCTTACCTTTATAATTTACGGACTCATGGTTTCAGGTTTTCTGGCCCACAAGGACCATGCTATCTTAAGGCTAACATTATCGGTCTCAGGGCCTGCATGTTGGCTGACAATGCCCTGCAGGCTGTTACAAGGACTCGAGGGCTTCCTGCCGCCACCACAAGCTCCGTCGCCAGCACCCACTCAGCTAGACCCGCCGGAGGTGGACGTGCAGGACCTCGGCGGCTTCTTAGACCCGGAGACACCTCCCAGAGCACTTCGTCGCCAGCCTCTTGAGTACACGCCACCGTGACCATGGGCAAAGGAGGCCTCAAAATCAAACCCAAAAGCAAACTTGGGAACCGCAGGAAGATCAAGAAGGACCAGCAGCTGCAAGACCTCAAGACGAAGAACGCAAACTTCAAACGGCATAACATACAATACGCACCGACCACAGCTCCGAAGCAGTCCGTGGCCTTGAAAGAGTTGCAGGAGGAGATCTCCTACCCTGAGATCGTGCGCAGCACCGACAAGGCCCTGAAGTCCATGCTCCTGGCCGAAGGCGTGCTGCGCGCGAAGACACAGCGGCCCGTGATCATGTGTTGGTCCTGCGGCAGCCGCATGGAAGCCGCAGACAGCCGAAGTAGCTCACTCCGCTGCTCCGGCGGGCGTGCATGCCCGACGCGTGCCAGGCTGAGCAATGTGGACGATGCCTTCACGCCCTTCGGCCCGACAGCAGCATCTGGATGCGACAAGGACTTCGCAGCCTTCGTGAGAACCGCATGGTGCTACGGCATGAAGGCAAGCGTGCGACATATGTAAAACTCAGACGTGTGTACCAGTATTGCACAGTAAAACCCCTGGCCGTCTCTCGAGGAACCTGAACATACGGCATCATGGCAGACGTGCGACATATGTAAACCGCACGCGTGTGTACCAGCATTGCACAGTAAAGCCCCTTGCCGTCTCTCGACGAACTTGAACATCAGCGATCCTGCCGCCTGGGAAAAGTAGCAAGACACGAATACTACATCGAAGCATTGGTGTTTGCCTCCTTGTCAGCGAGACGGAAGATCCAGGAATTAAACATCCGTTTGAAAGCCACTCAACCAGGAATAAGACATCAAAGTATTGCCATCGCCCGCTGTCCTTAACAGCATTCAAAGACGAATACCACACGGACGCTAGTTGTGAGTTTTTCTGTTGAGTCAACTGTGTTTTCGTTCTAGTGTCGAAAGAATACTCTTTTGTGCCGCGGTGCTTTTCGGCACTAGCTGTCACACAACTAGCGTTTTCTGCTTGGCATCGCATGCTAGAATATTTTTTCACCCACCCTCCACGCCCTGGGGATGGCTCGGCATCGCTTGCCTCTTTCCTCTGGCGAGCAATGCGTCGCAATGCAGTGCGTCCTTCGAGCAATCTCTGCGGACAAAGAGGGAGTCCGTTCGCCATGCACTCCTGTATCTTTCGAAATAGAATAGAGAACGTAACTGAGCTATTGATTCACGCTTTGTTTCCGAAGATGTCCCAAAGTTGCTCGGGCGGAGATGAGAGCTGGAGGGAACTGCTGCGAGCGGCTTCGCTGGCTTCCGTGGCTGCCTGTTCGCGAGCGGGGGGACTGGGAAGCGAAGAAAAGCGCGAAGCTGAACTACGGAAACGGTGCGGGATGAGACCCGGGTGCACGCAAGGGGGAGAGAAGGCGAAGCGTGCTTTTCCTTTTAGCACGCTTCGCGTTCTCTCCCCCTTGCGTGCACCCGGGTCTCATCCCGCACCGTTTCCGTAGTTCAGCTTCGCGCTTTTCTTCGCTTCCCAGTCCCCCGGCTCGCGAGCAGGCAGCCACGGAAGCCAGCGAAGCCGCTCGCAGCAGTTCCCTCCAGCTCTCATCCCCGCCCGAGCAACTTTGGGGCATCTTCGGTGGCCGCACCCCCTGCATGCTGCCCTGGTTCAAAAATCCAAATACATAGGTGGGTATGTCAATAAAGCCGGTGTTTTTCATGTTTGTTTCGGGAGCGATGTCTCAGCACGAACTTCTCTAATTTCTTGTGAAGTCCACCCGGTTGAAATGAATGTTCTCATTGCAACCCAGGCAGGAGCCAATAGAAGGCATTTCCAACAGTAAGCCATAGGAAGCCTGTACGACAACCAAACAGAATCCAACCAGGATCCACAAGGAAGCATTGACAGTGCTGAAGTTGAAGCAATACCCAGCCAGGAGCTTAAACACGGCAAGGGGTCAATACTGCGCAATACGCATGCGCAGACACGCAACACACGTAGACATACACATGCATAGACATAGACAAGACATAAAGACATGCACATATACATACACATATACATATACATATACATATACATATACATATACATATACATGTACATATGCATATACATATGCACACACATACACAAGCACATACACATGCACATATACATACACATAGACATACATATGACATAGACATATACATATACAAGCGTATACATACACATTATCATCCTATGCATTATATCTTTCACATCTACTGGGAAGCCAGCTTAGTGTAAGTAAAAAAAAGGCCGCATAGTGTAAGTGCGAGACGCTGTGTCTTCCATTCAGACGTCAGGCCGGGGCAGATCAGACAGCTCATCTCATCCGGGAGCCGTGCGAGAATCTGCTCACAGTGCACAAAAAGGTGCAGCGATACAGACAGCTGCATGCCATCGCTTTGGCCTACAGCGAAATGCTGCACGCGCAGCAGGTCCGCTTCGAGTACGACATCGTAGAGCCAGACAGTGCGCGCTTCGGGAAGCGGGCGACAGAAGATGGTTCCGCTCGCACGCACGTGGGCAGGAGCTTGAGACTGAAGAAGTTGTATGGAGTCAGGTCAAAAACATGTGAATAAGCAGCTACTTTGATTCCCATGGGCCGCCGTGCATAGAGAGCTTAAGTTTCAGCCTTGTACGCCCTAGCCTTAGTCACCATTGAATTCCCAAACTGTGAACTTAGCAATCACACAGTATCTGGACACAGGACGTTGGTCTTGAAGGGGCGCAAAAGCAAGGAATGGACGGCAACTCCTCTGCAACCAAGTCAGTCACTGGGCAAGCGCGGCATGCCACCCGAGTCTCTGGACGAAGTCTTGGGTCCCATGCAGAAGCAGATCCGTCGTGGGTGCGTTGTCGCGCCCGACGGCGGCCAAGCCTTCAAGGCTGCCGCGGCTGCCTTGCAGAAGCCATTGCTGCCTGGGGTGAGGCATGCGCAGAAGCTTTTCACGCCCACAGCCAAGTTGCCAGCCTCTACTTGCCAGACGGAGACGAAGAAGAGGACGCTGACGAAGAACATCGCCAAGAAGTCCGGGCGAGACTACATCATGGCTGCTGGTGACAACTGCGCAGAAGGATTGCTTGGCAACATTAAAACAACGCTCAGGACCGGAGTCTTTCGAGTAGCAGCGTACACAAACCGACCAAGTGGCAGCTTCATTTCTCGGTTTGAACAGTTTCGTCTTTTCTTCGGTTGTTGCTTCCAGGAGATCTGGTGGCATGCGCGCGCAGAGAGACAAGCTTTCTTCACTTCGTTCTCTCAGTGCAGCCGCTCTGCTTCGACAGCCGGGCTTGCGAAGAGTACTTCAGGCACCGTTGGCCCAGAAATCTGTCAGTCTTCTTCGGCTTGGGGTCTAAGATTCCAGACGTCAGGTTTGGCTTTCAGGGATTTGAGATCCTTACTCTTTTTGGGTGGCCGCGTTTCGGTCTGGGGTTTAGCCTGGTGTAGAGCCTCCCCGACTACTCATCATCTGCGGCAGGCGCACGCAAATTATCGACGTGCGCTGGAATCCGGAGTTTTGAAGCTTTCACCCACGCAGGCTTATGCTGTTAACAGCATTTCCTGGCTCGGACTGGCAGAAGATCAGGCCGAGAAGTAGCAGTAGGCAGCTTCTGCGCGCAGCCAGCTTTCCGGCACAATCTCCCCCGAAACTTCAGCCCTTCCTTAGGGAAACCTACTGCAGCACAGAAACGCACAAGCCATTCGCAGCTTCAACTCGGGAGTTCGGGCAGAAGTTTGGCACCGACAAGCTCGGGAGGACCCCTCGCAGGTACCGCGCCTGCCACGAAAAAGAGACGCGGCTGTGGATGCAGCCAAAGAGGCGCGGGCAAACCTACGCCTCTGCCCGTAAAGTTACCCAATACCAAAAAAGGGAGCCCTTTTTGTTCCTAGGTTACTGGGTATCCTAGATAACCCTGAATAGTCGTCTCCTTTTCCCAAGGGTTCTAAGTACCTCCATAGTAGAAGGTAGGGTTTCTATACTTGGAGTTACTACCATGGTTTGGGCACGTATGGAAGTTTCCGAAAAGAGGGGCCCCTAATATAGTACATTAAGTAATAGGATACTTATTGTAAGGACCCCCAAAATAAGTTACCTTAATTTCCGGAAACTCCCGTATTCCCCCATACCCAGAGACTCCAATATCCCTTAATTAATTAAACTATAGTAGAATCCTTAGTATGAATTAAGGTATATTCCTTATAAGGGATATTGGAGTCTCTCTAGGCACAGTCGCTTCTTCGGATCCTTTGGAGTGCGCACCCACTCCCTGACAGACCGCTGCAGCATTGAGACCTCAATCCGAAAACATTCCCAAACCCTACGCCTACTTGGAGGATCATGGGACGTAGAGGGATGTATAGGGCTCCTTTAGAGGGGATCTATAGGGTTCTTTAAAGGGATTTATGGGGTTTAGGGTTCAGGGTTACTTAAAAGACCATGGGACTTAGTAAGTAAGGTTATAAGTACCGTAATTGGGGTTATAAGTAGTTATCAGTATAGTTGCCCTAATTATAACCCTAGTTCTAAGTCCCATGATCCTTTAAGTACACCCTAACCCTAAGGCTCACAATGGCCCAGAAGCCTTGCATAATACGGCCTTTAGGCCCAAAAGCCTTAAACTATGAGTCCTTAGAAAGCCTAAACCCTAAACCCTTTAAACAAACACAGCCCTAACCGTCGAAACCGTAATCCCGGCACGCTAAACTACAGCCTCCAGGGACCTTATAGTTACGGCCCTAGACCCCTTAAGGACCCAATAATAAGGTCCCTGGAAGCCTAGGGTAAACTCAAGCCTCATAATCCCGCCCCCGCGCAGGCGCCGGAATCCTAGATCCACAGGCCGACGGTTTAGGGGTTTAGGGGTTTAGGGTTTACGGGTTTAGGGTTTAGGGGTTTAGGGTTTAGGGTTTAGGGGTTTAGGGTTTAGGGGTTTAGGGTTTAGGGGTTTAGGGTTTAGGGGTTTAGGGTTTAGGGGTTTGGGGGTTCAGGGGTTTAGGGTTTAGGGGTTTAGGGTTTAGGGGTTTAGGGTTTAGGGTTTAGGGGTTTGGGGGTTTGGGGGTTTAGGGGTTTAGGGTTTAGACTTCCTTTCATGGCTCCTTCCTTTAGTTTAGTGGTGCCTCTAATGGTTCCTTCCTTTCGTCCTTTAATGGTTCGTTCCGGTAGTTTAATGGTTCCTTTAATGGTTTCTTCCTGTGGTTTAATGGTTCCTTCAATGGTTGCTTTGATCAGGCTGTTTTTGGGGGGGTTCGTTTGGGAGTTCCCTTGAGGGTTCCTTTAAGATGTAAAGCTTCCTTGCAGGGTTCTATTCGGAAGAGGGATCCACAGGCCAGGTTGTGGACAACAGCGGGCCTTCGGCTTCCTCTGTGTTAAGAGTTTCGTCGCTTCCATCGGTTTTGTGCATAAGGTGCTTGTAGGGGTTCAAGGTCCCCGGTGTAGGATTTCAGGGTTCACTACTCTGATTACCCGAATCCTCTCTACAATAAGTTACGGGTTTGTTGCAAATGTGTGTCCTTC